AGGAACACCACTTCCCTGCAGTAAACACAAGAACACACTAAGGGCAGCTCAGAGACACAAGAGGCTGGGACAAACTGACAGACTCAAAACCAGATCCTCTCTGTGAAGACACAAGCTGTAATAAACACTAATTTAAGTATTTGTAGTGCTAATTAAAAAGTCTGCCAGCTCTGACCACAGATAACAGTTACGTTGTATTTTCCTCCAAAGCCATGTTAGATCTTAACCTACGTGTCTAAAGTAGAAAAAGAAAGATATTTTCAGCTCTGTGCTACTGATTACTTACCATGCTGCAAAGTCAAGTTCTTGGAAAGGGCAGCAAAGATCTAAAGTCTTTAATAATTCCAGGCATACAACAGATTTCAGCATACAGTTTGAGAGCTGCATTGAGGAATTATAGATAAGAACACAAAACAACAGCTGAGACGGCTGCAGGTGTTGGAGGTCTTTATTAAGATTATAGCACAGACACACTTCTATAGTTACCTTTCCACTTTTATACGATAGTTAAAAATGCTTGCTACGGTGCACATATAATTTAGTAACCAAGAGAATTCAAAACTTAACTGCAGTTCAAATAAATAAATAACCTAAGGTTTATATTTTAAAAAGTAAAAGGAACTGTACAATATGAAAATATAACAATACATAAACATTAGAATCTAAAGTTTTGTAGAAATAAAACTGCAATTTCCCATACATAAACAGTGCAAGAAATAAAATTCAGATAAGCTTCTGAACAGGGAATTTAAACAATTTAATTATTAAATTATCATGCAGACATAGCATTTTAAGCCATGCTGGTTTCTATTATAGCATTAATGGTATCCCTTTTACTTGAAAAAACTGATAGCCATTAAGCTCACTGTGACAACTGCTGCCAATCCACTCTTTTCTACAGTACATTATACACAGAGGTATTCTGTTGCATTCGAAAAGTAAAATATTATTATGTTTCTACAGAAAAAAAAAGAAATAATTATTTTACTTTTTTCCTCCTCCAACATGTTAGCTTGTTCAAAACAATGTCACATTGTAAAAACAGCAACATTTTCCCCCAGTTTAGATGAAAAGAAAGAAATAAACCCACACTATATAATGGACCATAATCAAGATGTGGTTACTGCCTAGTCACCTTTAAAGTTCAGAATTTATTACTAAAAAAGTTGAAATTGTGGAGATGTTAGAAAGTTTGACCTCTTGTTGAGAAGTGATGAATATAATAAATCTGAAAAAACAGTGGAAGTAATTTATCTTATGTGTGTATGTGGAACTAGTTACATATAGACTTGATTACAAGTGGTGTTCAACGTAAGTTTCTATATAAAATTCTCATTGAGGCAAAGACCAAGGAATGCAATTAATACCAAACTGTAAACACATCATTCATGTTACTTCGAGTGCACATCAACAACATAAGAGTTCTCCTCATAGACTTTGGCAACAAGACTACAATAGGTCACAGCAGCATGAGTTCACATGGAAGACTGAAAGCACTGCAAAAGAATATACTAGAAACACCAAGACCTCCTAGAAACCAGAAAAATCTGTGACAAGTGCCCCTCCTCTGGATAAGACACTCTCCTGCTCAACTGCTGCTCTCTCAATGCCTAATTATTATTACTTTGCTTTTACAGTTCTGTCGTCTCAGGTCTCTGTGCTTTAGCTGCATAGGTTGCCTTTGTTTGCACTCTAGCCATTGTAGGTCCAAAGGGTTACAGTTCTGTCCGCAGAAGATGACAAGAAGGAAAGATCTTGTGTATGCCATCTGCACTGAATAACTTTGTCCTTGTGCTCTCCTACCACCATAAGAGGAAGCTGCTTTGTGAGGTCCCCTATGGCAGAAGAACAGAAATCATTCGTCATTTCATGAATTTATATCCCAGTTTTTCAGGTTTTTGGGGTGGGTTTTTTTGTGCGTTTCATTTTCTTCTCCCCCTGCTTGTTTAGTAAAGCTTACATATGTATTTCACCTTATTAAGCACACTTAACCCTCCCACACCTCTCACACACACACAGTATAAGGCAAGGCCCCAGTGTTTTGGATTTTAGGTGTTACTGGACACAATAAAACTTTACAATACAGGTATTCACAGTTTTTAAACAATGTGATTAAAGTTTAACAGTCCAACAAAATCAAGTTGATTGCATATACTGGTATCTTTTCTCTTCTTAACTCTTCCCAATAAAAATAAGCATCACTATTATTATACTTTTTTCTTTTTTTTTTTTTTAAAAGGGACAATTTTATGAACGCTGCCTGAAAGCAATGGCCATCTCATCAGGCAACAGTGTTAATTAGCTCTTCTATCATAATCAGACACTGACCCCCCAACAAGATTTAATTCATAGCCTACATTTTTAGCAACAGAACATTGTGGACAGACAATCACATTTATATACAACACAAACCCTTCAAAGCTCTATTTTTTCCCCCCTTTTAAACTGAAACCTGATCTTCGAACCAAGTTCTCTTACAGCTTCAATATTAAAAGCACCAAACTGAAAATCCATCTAGTATCCTTGTAGTATGTTACCTTGCAAGTCTGTCACCTTTATTTTCATATCATACGATCCTGTGAGCAAGTAGTGAGCCCCTGGAGAGAAGCGAACAGAACGAACATCGCTGGAATGAGGATGATAGCTCTGCACCATCCGTCCTCCTCGAATATCGTACAACATACAGCTAGAGTCCTCTTGTCCTGTAGCCAGGAGACGACCACTAGGATCAACAGCTACTGAGGCTACAGCGCTTCCTACAGGAGGAAAAACCAAAACCGAACAGATTATATTTTTGTACATTTGTGCAAAGACACAACTTTTTTTTTTTAAAAAAAGGACTATACATTGTATAAGAATACCAAATGCTGGCCTTAAATTTAAGGTGAACATATCTAGCTACTGTAATCTTAAAAATAAGTAAATTTTTATGTTCTAGCACTTCAGCTATGAAGCCATAGGTCACACTGGAATGGCAGCAAACCCACTATTAAAGCTGCACAAGAGAGTATCTGTTTCATCACAGGAAAGAAAGTCATTCTTAATAAAATAATAATGCAAGGAATTCCCTCCCCCTCAATTCTAATTTATAGATCCCCCAGGTTTCAAGAAACAAATCTGAACCCAAGTGGTTCTTAAGAATCCTTTTGCAGATTTCTATAGAGTATGTTGATAACTTGCAAAAATGGCTGCTCCTTCC